CCCAGCTGTCTGAATTAAAAGTTAGAGGAAACAGTGCAAGGCTGAAAACAATGATCTAAAGTCTATAATGCCTATGAGGCTAGAACAAATACAAAACGTAAGTATTCTGTATTAACAGGGAAGGATGCAAGCAGCGAGAGTCTGAAAGAGAAAAAAGTATAAATGTACTTGTAGAAATAATGTGTAGCTATGTAGACCGGAGCACCAAGCTACATGCCGCTGCAAGCTATTAAACATAATTAGCCATCGTTAAAGTTTGCCTGCATGCCTGAGGTTGTAAGGAGGCTGAAGGGCCCCTGGTCGAGGCAGCCCTGTGTGGCCATACTGCCCAGATGGGACTGGTGAAGTGATTCCATAAAAAACTGAGCTACCATCGCAAAAGTGATGGCTGGGCAGTAGGTTTCCGGGGGGCAAGGATGAGGATAGTAAAGGTGGGGTGGATGTGGCGTGTATGCGCTTGGTTTTGTTTGGGTTTTGCTTTGTTTCTGATGCTTAGCCCTATTTCTGCTCTAGAACAAAACAGTGCCCTTTAGGAGAGCTAGATACAGATGCATGTCCCTTCTCAGTTGGGAAAACAGGCCAGGAATCAAACAGAGATAGCCTTCAAAGCATGTTAATAGAGTGGAATGAAACCGAACGTAAGAAAATTATGGAGTGAACTGCAGAAACATGGTGTCACGTTGGTATGTACCAGGAAATACTAGCATCTTTAAAATCCCAGTAGAAATGCGTGGAATAAGAAAACAGAGAGAACCTTTATTACAGTTGTTAAGTATCTTGCTGGTTTTTTAGTTTGCCGGGGTACTAGCCCTAATGTTTGGGGTTTTTTGTTGATGCCACTAGCTTGTCTTTCAAATTTAGGTGACAGAAGCGGAATAAAAGAATCTTCTTGTATGTAATGGGGTACACTTGGCCTGGCAGTGGATTTCAAAAGTTTAACAAAAGTGAAAAGCAATATTCCTAGATCGCAACAGTTCTTCTTTGGTAGTAAAAAAATTATTTGTTATATTTGGTATTCATTGGCCAGTAAAACTTCTTGTGGTCTCTTTGTTTATTTCAAAGTAATATTAATATAAAGACTGACAGTAGCTTCTTCCCTCTGCAGTGTCCATGTAGAGCTCGCTGCTTTAGTATTTGTAATTAGCAGTGTCATCTGTGAGGTGTAAGTAGTCAAATTTGTGTTTGGATGCATCGATCTTTGATCTTTCCCTTAACGTTTAATATTACCTATTTTCACTTATAACTATTGTCCCAGCGTGCTATTATGCTGATGTCAAAAAAAATAGCATTATAGTTTAATCAACCTGTTGATCTTAAGTTTCAGATGAATATTTAAATTCACCTTTCTCAAAATGATTGAATGACTTTTAATGGCAGGTTAAAATTGTTATTGTTTTCACAGAAAATCTGCAAATAACAAGGTAACTCCCAATCAAAAATTCTGCTGTTCAGAAGCTAAAGTTATCTGTAGGTGCACCAAAGACTATTAAGTTATACTGCAAAGATACTGTTCGGATTCCAAAGAAATTGTTTATGTCTGGATTGAGAGTAAAAAGTATCAAAATAACGTATTTGTGTCAAAAAAGGATGGCTTAGTAGGCAGAAGAGTTTTGTTGACCTTGAATAGGTCAAATGGTATTTACATATGTTTTGGGCAACTTTTATAAATATTACTAGAATTTCTTCCATAATTCTATAATAGAAATCATACAGAAGAATAGTAACATTCCAAATGGGCTTTCCAGTGTTTTCTTTGAAAATATTTAATAATAATAATACTACATCTGAAAAGTTTGATCTCTGTGTATCTTGGTCTCTTGTGTATCTTAGAGCACCCTTGGAAACTGAAGAGCAGGTTTTCCTTTTCCAGTATGAACTGCAAATGGAATGTGAAATATTCCTAAAATATTCCACTTATGTGTGTGCTAGGTAGAGCATTCTGATTTTATAGCATTTCAGACACATTTTTCACAAATGCAAGAAGTAAGGCAGGTAAAATAAAAGGCAGTAGAGAATCATTACACACATGAATAAATGGACTATTTGGGGAATGCGTAGGTTGAGACAGAGAAGCAAAATGTGTTGGCTCTGAAAATCAATTTGCTCTGGAATTTTTCTGTATAACTTTCCAATGAGATAGAGAGCAGATGGTTTAGCACACAGCAAAAAAATTAAATGTCCAAATAGCAAATGATAGTTTCTGCTATCTTTACACAAGGAATCTAGTTTGGTGTTTTACTGAGCATACCAAAACATCCAGGACTACAAAAACTGACAATCCATGTACACACATGTAGAAACTGAAAATACTCACTTTTCTCCTTAGGAGGGTGAATTTTGAAGTAACCAGTTGAATAATAAGACTTCTATTAAAAACTTTTGGGTTTGTAGGCCTTGCTTATAAATGCTTCTTAGTATAGAAGTAGCAGTCTGATATATTTAGCAAACAGTATGTCAGATGATGTGTCTTTGAACTAAAACCAGCTGTCTCCAATAAAGAAACAGAAAAAACACAGGCAAGTTCACTGGGAGGTAGAGGTGAAATCATTTATTTCCTATACTCAGGAAATAACTCTATAGATAGCTCCTGTTGTGGAATGTTTTTAATGTCTGACAGTTTCTAATGCCACATCACATGAGCAAGTCAGATGTAGTCTCAGACATTGTCAATGAGGAAAAAGAATCAATTATGGGATAGCGGCTGCTTGCTCGAAGGAAAGTGTTCTTGCCAGTGTTCTTTCTGTAGAAGACTCGATATGCTAGAAACTATCTACAACCATGTATTGGTTTTCGGATAACGAACCAAAGCAGATAACCGTACCTAACTACTTTGAATTTCAAGTTATCATTCCCAGTGAATAAATATCTCTTATTTTAAGCCAAATAAGTGTAATAAGCACATGATAAATCATGATTTTAAGATTTAAAGGCACAAAACAATGTTAGAGCTGCTGTGAGTGACCAGATAATCCAAATGATGTAAGTCTTATGTTTCTGTCACAGTTATACTGATGAATTAATTTCTTGACGTCTGTGGCATATATAAGCATCAGAGGTATTTTTTGTGAATCACAATTTTGATTTTTCTGAATTCTGTGCATTGAAAATTCTCAGCCATTAAACTGTATTAGAAGCTTTGGCCATTTGCATAAACAATACCTTCCTGATAAAAACAGTGGCCATGCTGCAAGGTATAATTTTTACTTCCAAGTTTCATCCATAATGTACCAAATTATGATTTTTTTCATAATACATTGTGTTTGTCTTCACAGTAAGGTTATAATTGGTTTTTGTATAATTTGATTTGCAGTGAAGTAGTTGGTGGATCTGTGATAAAGTGTCCAAAGTGTAACTAGATTAGCCAGAGCAAGGGTGTATGTCCCATATTACTTAATTTGTAATAAAGACCCTATTTTCAAGAAAGAATTAGCTTGGGTGAGAGAGCCAATATGTTCTAAACGGCCATTGCTATTTGCTTAGTGAATATGGGTCAAACCTTCATTTCACCCTTTGAATCAAACCCATCTTAATAAATATACTGGCATTTTTAATGTAAACTATTTGAGGGTAAGGATGGTCATAAACATTTTCAAGCTTAACATTTAAGTTTGGAGCAGTAGATGGAATGTTTAGAAGGTATTCCTCACTTGTTAGAGCACTACAGTATGGTACTATTTTAACCTATCTTACAAAATATCTGTAGTTGGTCATTTTCTTTAAGGTGCTTTTTGATTCCACAAGCTGAAAGAAAAGGGTCTTTCTTAGTGATTGGTAATTGCCAGAACAACTATTTCTTTGTGACTTGAAGTTAGAAATGGGCAGTAGTAGTTGAAAACACTACTCAGAAATGGAAAAAAAGGAACAAACTTCATTATATGGTACAGATATGAATCTGAACAAAACAAAAAAATAATCTGGTTAAGTAGAGATTTTCTCCAGAATACATACGGTCAAATTCATCCATTTTTTCAGTCTATTTTTCATTCATATTTTGCATCTTTCTTCTCAATTAAATAAAGCAGTGTATTCATACAGTAACAGCCTGGCTAATCTAAACATTTTTTGTCAGCATTCAACCTCATTATTATAAATTGGCAGTTATTTAACTGTATTTACTATTGCAATTAAATCTCATTATTTGGTAGAAATTAAGAACACACTATCAAATTATAAAGCATGAACACTATAAATCTAAACTATAACTGAAGAAAAAACAGTCTATTACTGCCTACTTGTTTTACTCACTGAATTTATAAATTCAGTTACTTATGTTCAGTCATTTTTAAGTGTAAACTCATAACATTTATTCACTATTTAAAAAATAATATTGTTTATATAAATAGTGTTATACGTACGCCGCTATTGTTTACAAAATTGTGTTGCTTGTGCATTCAGCCTTATCCTGCAACTGAAACCTCATTGCATGGGATCTCTGATCCCTGTTTTAAGTATGAGCTTAATAAGGGTATCAAATGCAGTGGTGTTGTGAAGTCACTGTCTGACAAACAGCCCCAGAAAACAGTGTTCTTGGTATCCACAGAATGACAGCAGTTCGGCCTTCCCCATAATGTCTACCAAATACCTCAGCCACATTCTGGGGGAATTACTTCAAGGGTTCAGCGAGTCATTCAGTGTGAACCTGAGCAGATGCACCCGCACCCGCTGGCACAACAGAAAGCTGTGGCTGGCGTCCCTGATGAAAGGCACGGAGTGGGCGACAGACCCATGCGGGGACAGAGAAGATCCTCCATCTGTTACTGGTTACTGGTGCATCCTTGATCTGTACATAGATTACCTTCAGTATTGTTGGCACGAGGGAATCTAAGATGACTTCAACCTGAAATGCTATAACAAAATTTTACTCGTTCTTAAAATTCAAAAGTTAAATTATATATAAAAAATAAATATAGGACTATAAGCTTGATCTGTAACTGGAATAGATTAAAAATGCCTTCTAAATATATTTACATTCTTCTTTTTTTCTTGTAGATGACAGTCATGTCCCATTCAAAGGATCTCAAGGACGACTTCCACAGTGACACTGTACTTTCTATTTTAAATGAACAGCGCATTCGGGGTATTTTGTGTGATGTCACCATAATTGTAGAAGATACCAAATTTAAAGCCCATAGTAATGTGCTGGCAGCTTCAAGCCTTTACTTTAAAAACATTTTTTGGAGTCGTACTATCTGTATTTCAGGTCATGTACTGGAGTTAGATGATCTCAAAGCTGAAGTGTTTACAGAAATACTGAATTACATCTACAGTTCCACAGTAGTTGTTAAGAGGCAGGAGACTGTAACGGACCTTGCAGCTGCAGGGAAAAAACTAGGAATATCATTTCTAGAAGATCTTACAGATGTTAATTTTTCAAGTTCCCCCTGCCCCTATGCATACTGTATTAATGAAAAAGGGACTGTCAAAGAGGAAAAACATGAAAAGAGACATGAAGACTCTGCTGTGACAAATGGACCGCGAATTACAAATGCATTCTCAATTTTTGAAACTGAAAACACTTTGTTTTCTCCACTTGATTTGAGGGCAAGCTTTAAAAAGGTATCTGAGGCAATACAAGCACCCATCAGCCTCGATAGAAACGATGTCTGCAAAGATGCTGAGCCAGCCAGTACACTGGCCGAACATTCCTATGCAGTTTCTTCTGGGGGAGATACTTTTCAAGGAACACCTTTTCTTGAACAGGACAGCAGCCCTTCATACAAGATGGGCGAAGACCACTATGAAAATCTCCAAGCCCCACCACTCATTCAGCCGGGAAAACAAGTGTGTAGTACTCCTAAAACAGCCTTTAAGCCCCAGGGTACTGGCATTGCTATAGCAAAAGTACCAGCCTCTATAGTAACCACTACAGAAGCTCAACATGAAGCAGTTACTGATCAGACAATTACTTCCTGTCCGAAACCTCAAAATAAAGCAGGAGATTTCCATTTATCCAGAGAAGAGGAAAGCAGTTCTGCTAATGTCTCTGGATCCGTGGCAACTGTTGTTCCACCTGTTTACAACTGTAACTGTTGTGCAAAATCATTCAATGACAGGGTGTTACTCAGTACTCATCTTCAGCTCCATTCAGAGCATCAGGAAACTTTCATATGCAAATACTGCAGCAAACAATTTGGAAATCTAAATATACTGGAAAGTCACGAACAAGTCTGCATGAGATCAAGTAGCTTGCCAGTTCACAATGGAAACGAACAAAATTTTGCAGATAACTACACTGCTACGGACGGAAGAAATGGAAGTTCATATGCAAATGCAGAGCCTCTATTGTCTGAAAACAGCATCACTGATTATTCTAATGCAAACTGCACTTTACCAGAAACAGATCATTTGGTTAAAGTCGTTGATGGGCAGATATTATATACGTGCATCGTTTGCAAGCGCAGTTATGTAACATTGTCTAGCCTTCGAAGACATGCAAATGTACATTCATGGAGAAGAACATATCCTTGTCACTACTGCAATAAAGTATTCGCATTAGCCGAATATCGCACCAGACATGAGATCTGGCACACTGGAGAAAGACGGTATCAGTGCATTTTCTGTCTGGAGACGTTTATGACTTATTATATACTAAAAAATCATCAGAAGTCTTTCCATGCAATTGACCATCGTCTCTCAGTAAACAAAAAGACAGCCAATGGAGGCTTAAAACCAAGTATGTACCCATACAAACTTTATCGACTTTTACCTATGAAATGCAGGCGGCTACCTTATAAGTCCTACCAAAATTCTTCATTTGAAAATGTTCAAACAAGTAGCCAGGTTAATGAAACTGCTTCTACTAACTGTTTCATTCCGAGTTCTCTTAGCTCTGAGCTACCACCACTGAATTTTCAAAGTAATATAATTGCAAACAACAGAACTCTTGCCTTGGATACACCTTCATGTAACGATACAGCATCTTCCATGAATACTCAGAATTCTTCCTCTTGGGGAGTAGGTATCTTGAATTCCGACCTGCAAAGGGACTTTTTCACAGCCGAAAAAAGAGTTTCCACTGCTGCAAATGACTGTGGTTCTCAGGAATGTGATTCCTCAGTTGTGTCTTTAACTAATGTGAATGAAAATTCAACCTCTGTCATCAGTTACAGCAGTTCTGCACCTTCTGTTATAATGCACAGTAGCAGAGTTTCATCAGTAATAATGCACAGTAAGACAGTCACTTCTGTAGAAAACAATAAGATAGAATCTTCAAATAATCTACCAAGTCAGTCTGTAAGTGATGATTGTAAATATGGGTCAGATAACTATGGGAAGTGCGTTACAAAATCAAAAACGATTAAGGAGAAAAAGAAAACACTGCTGTACAACAGAGCAGAAGTGACTGAGGATATGCAGCATGTCATAGGATCTGGAGGTTCATCTAGCAAAATGACAAATACTGTCCAAGAGTCAAGTAAAACTGAAACGTACATTGCAAAGCCTGCCTTACCTGGAACATCTACTGACAGCAATGTTGCACCTCTTTGCCAAATAACAGTAAAAATTGGTAATGAGGCTATTGTGAAAAGACATATATTAGGATCTAAGCTGTTTTGTAAAAGGGGCCGAAAATCTAAACACGAGTCCAAACAGGACGATCTAATTGAGGAATCAGAAATCGAGATAAAAGAAAGAAGCCCCTCTAGGCTGTATAGTTCAGAATGCCTGGAGCTGACAGAAATGTGTGATGACGTAAGTGACCAGGACTCCAGTGACAAACCCTGGAGACCCTATTATAATTACAAACCAAAAAAGAAATCCAAACAGCTAAGAAAAATGAAAAAGACCAAATGGAGGAAGAAGCATGGAAGCAAGAACACCATTATGGAAAGCCACAACACATGCAGTCGAGAATATGCGCTCAGGAATGTTCCTGAGGAAAAGGCAATCAGTCAAGAAGAGAATGCAGAAATGCCAAATCTTCATTGTGAGCTCTGTGAAAGAGATCAATCTTCCACTGCAGAAAATCAAGAACATGTACACTGGCATGTAGCTACTTCAAAGCCTTACATTTGTGAATTATGCCAAAAACAATTTCAAAGTCCATCCACTTTAAAAATGCATATGAGGTGTCACACTGGGGAAAAGCCCTACACTTGCAAAACTTGTGGTAAGTGTTTCTCAATTCCTGGAAATCTACAGAAACATGAACGTATTCACCTGGGTGTCAAAGACTTTGTCTGCCAATACTGCAATAAGGCATTCACTTTAAATGAAACACTCAAAATACATGAAAGAATTCATACTGGAGAAAAACGCTACCACTGTCAGTTCTGCTTTCAGAGCTTCTTGTACCTTTCTACCAAGAGGAACCATGAGCAAAGACATGTACGTGAACATAATGGAAAAGGATACGCTTGCTTTCAGTGCCCCAAAATTTGCAAGACAGCAGCTGCTCTGGGAATGCACCAGAAGAAACATCTATTCAAAAGTCCAGGTCCACAAGATAGAAAAGCACAGTTTTGCAATGAAAGCACTAAACTTTTGGAAAAGCCACATTTCCTTGGCTCAGAAGGAAGTGAAGTAAAAAATATACAAAATGTAACTCCAGAAGTTATACTCTAAGTGACAGTTGTGCAAAAGAGAAGAAAAATCCAAAATTATATATTGGAGATAATATAGATGCACTGAATGGGGAAATGTCTCCACTCAAATTAGTATGACTTACTAAGATCAAATTTCTTCATCTGAATGGGTCAATATATGCAAAAGAAGTCAAAAATAAAACAGAAAAGAAAACCTAGTATTTGCAATAAAACAAACTTAATGTGAAAGACCCAAAATCCTTTTGCCACAGTAGACTTCTAACATACAGAGAGAGAGAAAAAAAAAAAAAAAAAAAAAGTATGACCAACCAAAACCCTTCTACTTAGCATTATGGGAAACTTGTCACTGAACTATTTGACAGTGCTGCTTTTGAGTCAGAACCATTCTAGGTGAATAAATAATGTAGGTTCATGGTGTACTCTGTAGAAGGAATTTTTGCTGCAGAAACCATATATTGCATTTTTTAACAAAAAGTAATGTGTTTATAAACAAAATAATTGTAATTTAGTGTATTCTAAAGTGAGGGTGGGAAGTGTTTCATGAACTTGGGTATGTTGAAGTACAGTTCAGTTCCAGCGTGCTTTTCTGTAACTCAACATTTACAAAACACGTTCAGGAGTTTAAACCTCTTTTCCTTTCCATATTCAGTTTTGTAGTTACCATAATAACTGTTAAGTCCGAGTGCTTGTGTGGGAAGTATTCCAGATTTATGATATCTCTGAGACATTTAATAAAGATTCAGTGGAACTCACAATAGCCAGTCTTCCAAACTGCATAAATCCCAATGTCAACGGCCTGGTAGAGCTATTCAGGTGCATTTGTCTGTAAAGAAAATTGTTCTTATGAAACAGCCTAGCTTAAAGAAATCCTGTATATAAACGTCCACCTCCTGGTGGGTCTGCAACTCCTGTCTTTCAGAAGTACCATTCTTCTCAGCAAAAGAAGAGGAGATTTAGACAGTCTTCCTCCTCATCCTGGAATAATGCCTGGACAACAAACAACAGAGCAACTCCCCATAAATACTTTGGGTTTGGGAGAAGTAGGTAAATACTCAAATTCTTGCTTCCATATATATCCCTGAGGCAGCCCCTATGTATAAGCAGGGATGGGGCCAGTTTGTGGGGTTTCCCATCATCCCCATGCCTTAAATGCAACATCTAACCTTTGTATGTCGCTTCTTGGTGATCCCCCTAACCATGCCAGCATCTCACCCCAGGCAAGCATTGTTGCAGCATCCCTCAGCCCAACAGAGCTGGCCCATGGCAGAGAGGTGCCTGGAGTGGGTTGCTGGAGGAAGAAGTGTTGGCTTTCCTGCCTCCCTCATCCTGCCACACTGAAGGGTTATGGTGAGCCTTTCGGCTTCACAGTTTGCTCAGAACTGGGAGAACAGGCTTCTGAAAGACCTCACCGAACTATTACAATTAATATTATTTTGTCAAAATGTGATTAATTTTAACTGAGATTAAGAGATTTTTAAAAAGTCAAAGGGCGTATGTGTACAAGTTGCAGTTTATATGATAGGGCTGTGTTGTACTGTATCTGCATTTCCAATTAGTCATGTATGTTAATCTCTATGAAGTGTTAAAACATTAAGTCAGGACAAAGGTTAGTGAACCTCAACTTCATTCTGCGTGCAAATATGGTACACAGTTTGTTTACTTACTTCGTCTTCTGAATATTTTAAAAGAAACTATAGCTTGGGTACAATAAAACTACAATTGAAATGGTAATGCAGTACTGATTGAAGTAATAATATAGTCCACTTATTTATTCTATCATTGGTGAATGCTATGAACCCCTTGGGTACAATAAAACTACAATTGAAATGATAATACAGTATTGATTGAAGTAATAATATAGTCCACTTATTTATTCTATCATTGGTGAATGCTATGAACCCCTTGAGAAATTTTGGTTTCATGGCAGCTTTGGTTCCATTTAAATAAGGATAATAGACAAATAAACACAGAAAAGTACGATGATGTTTCAAAGAAAGTACGCAAAGATAACTTCTAAGTGGACTTGTGTGATGATAATTATAGACCAAAGCAAATAAGGTAGAATATTTATAAATATAAAGATAATTTTACAAATATTTTATATAACTGTATAGTTCATAAGAAAAAATATTGATAGCTTGTGTTAGGTTTGGGGGGGGTTTGTATATTTTGATAAAAACACAATGACTTTGTAACTCTGTATATTCTCTACAGTTTATAGCAAAGCAGTTTTAAGATGGCAATGTCATGTTTATAGTTCAATTGTGGCACTTTTACTACAAGTAACACGTTGCAGTAATGAGTCCAGTATCAATGACCAAATTAGAATTAAAGTAAGTGTAAGAGAAGGTAAATACTATATGTTGTCAAAGACTGTAATTTGCTACATAATTGCATCTGTATTTTTGTTTAGAAGAAAATATTAAATGCAGATGTTAAGGATTGATAAAGAGTCTAATTTTATTTTTAGAAAGAGTGATTATAACTCTGTTTTTGCTTAATTAAAATAACATCTTCCTATTTTTCTGTAAGTCTCTCAATTTTTTAAGTTATGTTAATACTTACGTAATCTATAAAATCCAGAGATACGTATCTTCTAATAGTTACTTCATTAGAAGATTAAGCAAGACAGTTACCAAACGTTCACTTTGTTAAGGTCAGAACAGTGAATTGAGAATATGCCAGAGCTCAAGGGAAGTGATGGTATCTCCTGGCATTGTACCATTATGGGCGAGCGCAATGCTGAGGTGAACAGAAATCTACCTGCTCAGTGTCTTAAAGGACTTGGAAGGCGGGTGAACTGTGCTTAATACTTTGCAATGTCTTAAGACATGTTTTCATGAAGACTCGAAACTTTAAAAATACTTCTCAATTCTTACGGTAACCTTGCAGTGTAGATTGTGTATTTTACACACTGTATGTCAAGTCTTTTAGGAGTCCAATCAAGAAACATAGTTCAGAATGCAAATATTTAATTGCATAAGGAAGTACAAAGATGCATACAAAATAGACAATTTTGCATATTCAAAGAACTTCCCCCCTTCAGCTAGGTGTCACTAGTCTGTAACTTGCATTAAAAATTAAATTTAAGCTAAATTATGCAGGTCATTTTGGGATGGTCCTCAGGAGAGATGTATAACTGCACAAAAAAGTTTAGAAGTTTGCTATGTGTGACAAATACATTTTTCTCTATTTCAAATGCTAATTAAAAGGACGAGTGGATCATCCCAAAGTCTGTGCATCTAAACAAAATGTTAGTCAATCTTCATTTATGATATGCCCCAAATTAGAACAAATATACTGAACGATACTGCTGTGTTCTGTGAAATGAGATGACACGACACAGCTAAACTACAGGCAGAAGCATATGAAGTAAGCATCGTCATCACTTTTATTTGTTCTAAACTCCGATAGTATAGCGGTTGTCATGGACAATTCAGCACCGTGGCTGACATAAAAGGTTATCTCACACGAGCCAAGATCCCCCTGCTTATGTCCTCACTGTTAAATGAAGAAATCTTTCCCCCAAGTGTGCAATTTAGCACACTAGTGTTTGTCTTAACTATGTCTTTAGCTGAACAGACCCACCTGTCATAGAGATGCTCCTAAAATGTAAGTTAAAGAGAGGCCGAAAATGAATATTACACAATTGAAACAAGATTCTGAATATAGTACCTTAGATTAAAACAAGGCACTTAGAAAAAAAAAATGGAGCGTCAAGAATCAGACAAACTAAAGTTGCATTGATAATGTTGATAGTGGGTCTGTGCTTTGAAGGAAGCTGATGCCAATTTAAACAGTAAACTGTAATAATAACTTTTGAGAGAGCATGGAAGAAAGGGAGTCACACGGTTTAAGCATACAGCTTCGTTCTCAGGGTGCTGCCCTGCTACATTTCTGAGATCAAAGCTCTGACTGCCCGGGTTAGCGTCCCTTCACCAGCCACAGATGCCCAACTGTGGATCGTCAAGCCCTCGATTTGTACTGTAGAGGAGCCTCTCATTTCTAACAGGTTAAAATTCAGCTTATGCAAACTCGTGTCTTTGTGCAGATTGGGGTTTTGCATGCATACAAATACACGTGTTAATGGGTGTGATGAAGCAGCTTATTCCCCGCCAGTCCCCTGCCCGCCACCTTTAAGCACATGCCTCTCCTCCCCCAGCCACAGCGCGGAGCATGGGGTTGAGGAAGGAACCTCACCCCTGCCCAGGGAGCAGCAGGGGAGGAGTGCAGGAAAAGCCACCAAGGAATGAGGCACAGCAGTGCCTGATGGTCAGCTTATATGGCTTGATGCTGTATCATCATAAATGCAGCAAGATACGTGTGGGAGAAATAAAAAATGGCCAGAGCACCAGGGCAGAGGGCTTCAGTTGGAGACAAATGACAGATGCTGGCCTGAAACTTTCCAAACTTCCCTTCGCTTTAACAGAAGGACAGGCTGAAGAGGGCTTTCTAGGTGTCAAGTGAAGAGCCACAGTCCTCTACCGCATTCTAAAACAGCTTTGGCCCAGTGAGCTACCTCTGGTTTAGGATACGTCAGTCACTAAAGGCCTTCATGAGACTCTGTGCCTGCAGGGCCTGGGGGCTGATGTGCCCTCGGCGCGCACCCCCCCAGCGGGACCCAGCACCCGCAGCTGGCGGCAGGGTGGGTCAGGTGGGGCGAAGACAGACACCCACCACCCATGTGGGACCGGGGCGAACTCCAGCCCAGAGGGCTTCACATTAGGATCCCTAACCTTCCAAGAAACATCGGTATAAAACGCGATGCAAACGCCCTTTAATTCTTGATGGAGGCGGGCTGCTGCTGCGCTTCCCCTCTAGCCTGCCAACAGCCTCGGGTGTCGGGACTCCGGCGAGCGAGGCACTGCGTGGCCGCACAGGCAAACGGAAGCAAGTGACAGCCAGAGAAAGATTCACCAGCAGCCATGGCGTGCTTTTCAGAGAGACCCAGCAGAAATCAAAGCAACCGGCTCCGTCGCTCCTTTCAGCCGTGTAGGCAGCGAGTACCGCTACGGTAAATCCCAGCGTTTAACGTGCCCGGCAGGGACGGCCCCTGCGATCGGCACGCCGAGGGGCAGCCCGGGCAAGGCAGGCTGCGGAAGCGGCCGAGACCACCGGG